CATCAGTGATGCTGAAGTTGTTTGCCGGCAGCTGGGCTGTGGGAGGGCTCTATCCACGGCAACTTCGTCTTTTTTTGGAGAAGGGTCTGGCCCTATCTGGCTGGATGATGTGAATTGCACAGGAGCTGAAACTGCCCTTTCCAAATGTGAGGCCAGACTGTGGGGAGCCCATAACTGTGGTCATAGAGAAGATGCTGGTGTTGTGTGCTTAGGTAAGTCTCATTTACACCATTTCCAGATCAAGGCTTAAGGTGTGTGGAGGGATGCCTGAAACGCCACAGGGTTCCCTCTTCCTGTCTTACGACTCTAAAACCAGAGTACTGAAGAAAGAAAGTGCTTCTGGTTGGATGTGCACAACTCCAGTGGTGTTCCCCCTTTTCTCCCTGCTCCCAAACTCACCATAGTATTGTGGTGCTGCAGTCCAGTGCTTGCTGTGCTGCAGAATTCAATTCTGGGACTCTTTCCCATGAATTCAAACTTGAGACTCCTTCCTGTGGGAGCTTCAGATAAATCTGATAGCATTGCAGGACTACTGTGAGTCGCCCTGTTATAGAGAACAGCACACAGCCACTTGGATTTCTCCCTTATATCATTCTCAAAATACCATGACATGCTCTGCGTCTGTTGTTTTTTTCTTCTTCAACACAAAATGTCTTGCGGAAACCTACTGATTCTACTTGCCCTTCCTCTGTCCTTGGTAAAATAATTTTCAGCAGATCTGTTCTCTTTTCCCAAAGTTTTTCCAATATCTTCTCTGAAACCTCTACAGTTCAGACAATTTCCTCAAAATTGTTGCACGGTGCTTCATTGCCACTAGAAGGAAACCCTGACTTAACTATTGATTTAGAATCTACAGTCTCCTGTTTGTCATGCACACTGATACTTATTCTTTGCATCTACCTCTTGATAAGAATGTTATATCCCTTCCTAGCCACTTCATATCTCCTTCTTGAGAAATGTTTTTGAGCCTCTCCTTATCTCCATCCTTCTTCCTGGTTTTCTCCTTGGCTGCTGGGCATATTTTTTCTAATCTTTAATCTTTAAAATGAGGCTTTAGCAGTGCTGATTCACTCTGAAGGTTTGCTTTGGATATCTTGTAGACAGCACTCCCTTTTATACTAAGCTATTTTTTTCTTGGATTAACATGACACTTAAGAGTTTCACTCTCAATCCTTTATATAGCTTTGTGAAGAACTGCCAATTAGTAAACGCTTCTTCGTCCTATGGTCCATCATTTTATCCCCCCCAAATGGTACACTTTTGAACTGTTCTCACTGGAGATATCCTGTTTCTCTACAATTACTTATCCACATCTGGAGAATACCCTGTGGATTTGCTGTCCAAGCACTCATACCTTTCTGAATTCATCACTGTCCTTTTGCAGCCAGTGAAGACTTAGCGCAGCGCGTAGCAGGATTTTCCCCATCCTGATGACATGACCCAAAGCAGATTAAAGGATGTGCAACCCAATAATGCTTCTTTCCTTCCTATGACTACAAAGGGAAATGACTGTCCTCTGTGGAGTTGTAAAAGGGTGGGTTCATTCCCTTGCCAACACAACTTGTTTTGTGTCACCTAAGATGTCCTGTGGTGTCCCATCCTATTTCTAATTGCAGATACCGAAGAATGCCCCCTTCCCAAGGTCCTAAGTCAAGTCTCCAGACTCACTGGATGTCTGGATGCCTGGAATTCACTGGACATGTCAAATACTACTAAGTATAAATGCTCAGGAAAGTAAATAAGCCACTGAAAGATGAAGTCTGGCTGAGGTCAATCATACCCCAGTTTTCTCACCATCTTCCTGGCTAGTGTCTTTTCCCTTGGGCAGTGGAGTTTCCTGCATTTGCTGCCTGGGCACTGCTGTTTTCCTGGTAAAAGGCAGAGAGAAGAAGGCTTCAATCACCTCATATTTGGGAGTGAGAAGCAACAGGACATTTATTTTCCTTAGTTTGGGCCAGCACTACTTCTTGACCTTTGGGTCACGTGTGAGGAAATCCAATAGCATTGAACCTTCTTCTCGATGCTTGTCCCTGGACGTCATACTAAACCAACTAGGGTACACAATGTTTCCTGGTGTGCCTGGAAGGAATGTCTTTGCCAAAATAACTTTCCTTGTTTTTCCTTTGTGTTTCAGGTGTTCCAGAACCAGCCCCAGTCCGGCTGGTCAACGGTTCAAATTTCTGCTCTGGGAGAGTTGAGGTGTTTCATGAGCAGCAATGGGGAACCGTCTGTGATGACAGCTGGGATTTAAGAGATGCTGAAGTGGTCTGCAGGCAGCTGGGCTGTGGGGCAGCCATCTCAGCCCCTGACTATGCTCGGTTTGGACAAGGAACTGGAAAAATTTGGTTGGATGATGTGAACTGTGCAGGATCTGAAACTGCCCTTGCTGAGTGCCGAGTCAGGCCTTGGGGAAATCACAACTGTCACCATGGGGAGGATGCTGGTGTGGTGTGCTCAGGTACTGTTAATTCACGTAAACACAGACCTGCAGAGGTTGGAAGATCCACTTGTTAAAGGAATTTTCCCTCAGTAGATTGCACAGGAAAGCATCCAGGAAGGTTTTGAATATGTCCAGAGACTTCACAACCTTTCTAGGCAGCTTATTTCAGGGCTTTGTCATGCTCATAGTAAAGGAGTTCTATCTCATGTTCAGATGGAACTGCCTGAGTTCCAGTTTGTGCCCACTGCCCCTTTTCCTGTTGCTGGGCATGACCTAAAAGAGCCTAGTCCCAACAACTGGAACCTGCTCATTAGATATTTACAAGTGTTGATAAGATCACTCCTCAGCCTTCTCTTCTTCAAGCTGAACAATTCCAACTCCCTCAGCCTGTTTCCTTAGGAGAAGTACTCCAGACCTATGAGCATCTTCATGTCATCCAGGAAATGCTCCAAAACCTCCACACCCTTCCTATGCTGGGGGTAGCAGGCCTGGACACAGTACTATAGATGCGGCCTCAGGAGAGCAGAGCAGAGAGGGTCAATCCCCTCTTTCTCTCCACTACTACCCCTCTCTAGAACCACCCCAGAGGACTGTCGACTTCCAGACTGTGAGCGCTCAATGCTGATTCCACTTACGATTTTCACCCACTAGAACTCCCAAGTCCCTCTCTAGAGTCCTGCTCTCAATGAGTTTTTCTCCCAGTCTGTATGCTTATCTGGGATTGCCCTAACCCAAGTACAACGTCCCGTGTTTGGCTTTGATTAACATCATTTGGTTCTTGTAGCTTGTCCATTTCCCTGGGATTTCTTGTGTCGTTGTGTTTTGTGGATTTGTGCTTCTGTTTCTGTGATTGCTTTCTTGTTGTTGTTGTTTTGTTTGTTTGTTTGTTTGTTTGTTTGTTTTGCCAGGTATTACAGAACCAGCTCCCATCCGGCTCGTGAACGGTCCAAGTCATTGTGCTGGGAGAGTCGAGGTGTTTCATGACCATCAGTGGGGAACCGTGTGTGATGATGGCTGGGATAAAGAAGAAGCCAATGTTGTGTGCAGGCAGCTGGGCTGTGGGGCAGCAATATCAGCCCCTGGCGCAGCTCGCTTTGGACAAGGGTCTGACCCCATCTGGCTGGATGATGTCAGTTGTGCAGGGACAGAGGCTGCCCTCTCGCAGTGCCAGTTGCAGGCCTGGGGATCCCATAACTGCAAACATGGAGAAGATGCTGGAGTGGTGTGCTCAGGTAACTCCTGCATATATCTCGGTCTCAAAAGTGTTGAGAAACATGGAAAAATGATTTTCAGACTCAGTAGGAGGTCCTGTCTGAGCTCAGGCTGCTCCTAATGTCTACTATCAGTCACTGTGGTCTATAAAGTCATTCTTGTGCAACCTACATGGTCCACGGTCACCAACAGAATCTCGGTTACCATGATCAGATCTGCATCTGATAACTGTATCAAGCTTAGTCTCTCATATCTCAGCTTCTGAAGGCTCCTGGGCTTTTACGAGGGTTGGAAATGGTCCAAAAACATCTCATCCCTGATGAGGTTATGGGAGCCTACCACCTGAACCTGGATTATATAGTACAGGATAAAGTGCTATATACAACATACAGTAATACATACTGGCCTCCCCAACAGAAAGCAGACACCTACATCAGATTTCCACACTTCTGACATGAGAGCTGAAGAATGGCAAAGATTCCCCAAGGCAACTCAGATGGGAAACAACAACTAACTGGAGGTTGCCAAATATATGCATTTGCATAGGTTACATCTGTATTATCCATAGACAACATTAAATTTTTATTCCCAAGCTTGGCAGGGCAGATTGCTCTTCATACAGAGCAAGAATGGTGTTCTGTGTCACAAAGTGGTTCAGTAAACTCTTGGAAACATGTCTGCTAGGAAGGGATGAATCAGTATTCCTCCACACTGTGCTGTAAGTCAAGAAGGAATTAATCTTTCTACAAATCTTTATACGGGCTCCCTTAGGTACAGCAAATCCAGGCTTTTGTCTAGGATCAGATGACCACACCTGAAACTGCTGATTAAGTAAAGAAACTCCTGATCATAGTTTGGCTACTAAGCTTGTACTCAAAGATGGGGACATCATTGAAATGTACAAACTAAAGATGTATTTAATCATTATGACTAGCGCAGTCAGCAGAAAGGAAAATTAGCCCCATCTTCATAATAAACCAACACCTCATCTGTGTGTGTGAGATTGGTTCATTGCACACCACGTAACAAACACATCTTGCAGACAACGA